AAATTTAAGGATCTCAATTTGTCCATAATTCTCAATTAAATTCCTGAGTTGTTTTATCAAATTAAATAGTAAATATAAAATTAAAAATTTAGAATCGTAATTGTAATTAATAAATAAATTTTACCAAAGAATATAAATTGAAAAAGGAAAATGTAAAACAGAAATAAAAAAGAAAGAAAAGAAGAAAAAAAAAGAAGAAGAAGAAGAAAAAAAAAAGAAAAACGATTCAGAGGCTCCGGAGTCCGGCTCACCCACTCGGTCACTCTCTCTCTGCTTCAATTTTAAGCTGTCTTCTTATATCCCTTTTTATATAAATAAATATCTCTCTCTAAACTATTTCTCTGCTTAACCCTCTCTCCCTCTTTCTCTAGAAGGCACTTTTCTCTCTCTTAGGGTTTGTTCGGTACAGTGTCTATTAGCGTTTAATCACTCTCAGGCCTCTGCGCTACTTCGCCAGTGCTCCTGTTGGATATGGCGGCTGATAGACTTAGAGATTTGAGCCAGCCTATTGATGTCTCCTTACTCGACGCTACAGTCGCTGCTTTCTATGGCACCGGATCTAAAGAAGAGGTGAGGGATTAGATTCTTCCTCTCGTTTCTCTTTACTTTCTATTTGGGAAGTTGGGGGCAGGGACTCCGGTTCTCATATTTTAATGCTTTAGTATGCATGAGCCTATGCTTGTAGCCTTGGGTTGCCTAATTTCAATTCTGTAGTCTGCTGGAGAATGTAGTTCTTGAATACTAGGGTTTGTTGTGTATCCATTGTTTACTTTTGGGATTTTTTTTCTTTTTAAGTTACTTGTAAAGCTATTGATTCCTTAGACATTAAGCCATGGCAACATTCAATTACTGGCTTTAGAAGTAAACCCCTTTCTCTGGGTGTTTTCTTTAGGGCATCTGATTGGTTTTTCTCCTTATCTCGACTCTGTTTGGTTTCAGATAAATTGGTTGGAAACAGGTGGAAATGGAACCATTGACTCACTTTTATTAATGAAATTTATGTTAAAAAAATATCTTCTAAATTCAAATATTATCTCTTAAAGTTATTTTGACATTTGACAGTCTCTTATTTTGATTGAACCTGGTGAGTTGAAGCGATGTACATATCCCATTCTGGATTAAAGCCTGGGGGAGAGATCTTTTAATTATCAAAGGCTACATTTGTGTCTACATCATTATATCATCTCATTCTTTTGTTCTCTTGCTTGAAATCAATAATTATTGGCCTACTCATTTAAACTAGTCATATTAAATTGGAAGTGATATTTATTATATAAGGGTGAGCAAGGGGTACTCCAACCTTACAACTCAAAATATACAAATGCTAGTAAGCTAGCTGCAAAGTATATGAAAACCTAAGAAACAAAAAGGACAACAGTAGAACTCAAGCACTGCACATTCATAATTATGTAACATGTTTGCTTTTGTGGCCAGCCTTGTGTTCATGTTCATAACTCAAGAACCAGTGCTGTTTCCTCTGTGCATCAAGCTTTGTTTCTTATTTGGTAATGCAATTGATAAAAGGTGGTTTTATAAGTAGCATTGCTACTAGTGTATATTGGCATTTAATTAGCCATTTTAATGTGTTCATCTCTTTACTATTCTTTGTAGCATGTCAATTGTTCTTTTTTTTTTTCTCAAAATCACTATTTCTTCTCACTCTTTCTTTTCTTCTACTTATGTTGCTTCACAGAGGGCTCATGCAGATCAGATCTTGCGAGACATGCAAAATAATCCAGACATGTGGCTCCAAGTTGTGCATATCCTACAACATACAAAGAGCCTGAATACAAAGTTCTTTGCCTTGCAGGTCAGTTTCAGTGGCTATCTACTCCATAATCTGTAATTTTCTGTAAATTTGTTATTTTTTATTTTAAATGTACATACAGTGTTACATATCGTGGCATACAAAGTCAATTTTATCAACAGCTTGACATATTTTTTTGTGTATTTGCTTAAGGGAATATCTATTAAAATGCAAAGCCTTGTAGGGTGCTTTTGCCAATACCAATTCCTGAAATTGATAGAGAAGTTCCTCATTTTTTTCTTCTTTTTTCTTCATTTTAGGGTGGGTGGGGGGGTGGAGATGCCTTTTGCATGGTAATGCAAGTTGAGTGTGTAATGTCTTGGTATACTCAGGAGTTAAATGCCTTGGTTATTCAGAGACTTAAATGACAAGGTGGTTAAGGTTCTTTAAGGAGAGCACTAATACTGCACTTACAATTTTTGATCATGACGTAATGTGGTAGTCCTTAGTAAGTTGATGTTCACAGAATGTTGTTGGGACAGTTCATTTCACTCTATTATCATCTTACTCCCTTGATGCTAAAAAGCTCAAGTGGGTCATAGCTCCATCTCTGAATTTTAATTATTATTATTATATATTTTTTACATTGGGAGGTTGATAATTTTATCTTTCCTGTTGAATATTTCATAGAGTTCTTTTTACATTTTGTGACTGCATAGAAGTGGGCAATTTGATCCATGTTTTGGAAGAACTTTTGATAGTTGAATTATGTAACTGATGTAAAGAATGTCCTTATAAACATTTGAAATCCTTGTTTAATTTGGCTAATTTTTTGTAGCTCTTGTGTTATGGGGACAGGTTCTTGAAGGTGTTATCAAGTATAGGTGGAATGCTTTACCTGTTGAACAACGAGATGGAATGAAAAATTACATTTCTGAAGTGATCGTTCAGGTATGACTACACTGTTATCTTTTATTTAGCTAGTGCAGAGGAGTTGTTTAATGTCTTTAATTAATTTATTTATTTTGTTTATTCTTCTACTATTTTAATTGTAATGTCTTTGTACCCTGCAATAGTTATCAAGTAACGAGGCTTCTTTTCGATCAGAAAGGCTTTATGTCAACAAGCTGAATATCATATTGGTTCAGGTATGATCAACTGGCTTTCTAGAGTAAATAGTTTCTAGTCAGACAGGCCTTTAAGGTGCTTTGTGACTGGTAGAAGCTATGCTGCTTATTTTATTTTAATTTTTATTTTACTTAAACAGTGCATCAATTCAAAATACAAATAATGCATTCTACAATATTTACAATCTTCTTCTCTTATGAATATGTGGGAAGTACCATCCAATGAACTGATTTTATAGTTTTTATGATTTACAGAAAAATTAGAATTGGCTCTTCTGATATTAGTCTATGCTGTTATGTCTGAATGATCTTGTCTTCTGTATATACAGATTTTAAAGCATGATTGGCCATCTAGATGGCGGAGCTTTATTCCTGATCTTGTTGCAGCAGCAAAAACTAGTGAAACGATTTGTGAGAATTGCATGGCAATATTGAAAGTAAGTATGCTCTCAGACTTCTCTTTCTATAACTGTTTTAAGGACATTAAGATGACATTATTTGTTACTATGTCAGCTTCTAAGTGAAGAAGTTTTTGATTTCTCAAGGGGAGAAATGACCCAACAAAAGATCAAAGAGCTTAAGCAATCACTTAATAGGTAAGGGTTTTAGGTCCCTTTGTCATCTTTTGAGTCATGTCTATTCTTGTATAATAATTGTTCTTACGGGCTTGTTTATTTTGCATAGCACCAAAATTATTTTTCCCTATCATTGTTATGATATATTTCTCAATGACCATGTAAATACAACCTTTTGATGAAAAGAGCTATGGAAATATTAAATTTGGCTCTATGGTATAGAGACATTTTAAGCATCCTAAAAGAATAGAATCAAAGAAAAAGAAGTGGAAAGAAGATACTCTTCTTTGAAGAAATGCAAAGATGCCATATGTAGCTTTGTAAAAGGAAATTATTAAGTGGATATACATTTGATGTGGACCAATTTTTGAAATGAAAATAGGAGAGAAATTAGAAAATAGAGAAGGATGACAAAGCAGTGAGGTTTTTGGAGCAATAATAATCTAAGTTCATCATAATCTATGTAACCCTAATATTCACAAAACCCTAATGTGACTCCTAAATTTAGAAGCTTACCAGTTAAAGATCTACTTAGAAGCAATAGGTTTTGAACTTCCTCTTTGACCTTGAAACAACTTTAGAAAATTTAAAAGATATTTTAAGAAACTATATTCGACCTAGCGTCATCTTTCCCAATAGAGAAGACCTTTTCAGAAGCTGGGCAAACTTACATCATGTTTGATTAAAATATTTGTGGAAGTCATTTGCAATTCCACACTTTGGTTTGATTAAAAATTGTCTACAATATGTTGCAAAATGTTAACTAGAGTTTAGGCGATCACCTTTTTTTTTTTTTTCTTTTTCTTTAAAAAATAAAAAGAGAACAGTAAACAATAAAAAGTGTGAAAAAGTAAAATGTTAGAAAAAATAAAAAGAGAAGAAAAAATAATTTAAACATTTTTTAGAATTGTCAATGCATTATTATAAAAATAAAAAGAAAAGAAACAAAACAATAAAGATCAAGGGAAGGAATAAAAAGGGTCTAAATTTGCTTCTTCTTGTGATTATCAAGCCCAAATTTGTCATAAATGGAAGAATTAATAATTGGGCCCGAATTAGTCCATTTATTTTAGATTGAGTCCCGTTATTTTAACTTTGTTTATGAATTTAAAATAAATTTAGATAGATAGCCCTACTGTCTTCTTCCTCAAACATATGCTTCTTAAACAAGTGGGTCAAATTAGATCAAATCTTGGATCTCTGACGTGTGGGAGTGTGCCACTGTTGTTTGAGGTGTGACTTTGGCATACATGTTCATTGGTGCCATCTAAGGATCATTCTAGCGTGGTTGTTTGATTACACTGAATTTTCTTGCATATTTAACCTAAAAACCTCGGTTTTGTAGACCCATCACCTAAAGCGTGAAGTGAGGCGTTGGAGGCTAGGTAATCTAGTCACACATTTTGCAACACTCTTCACTTTTAAATTATGGAATTGGTTAAGGTTAATTCTAATTCTATCCATTTTGATTGAAATTAAATGACTCTACTTTTATATGAACGAAGAATTTAATTTATTAAAATATCCCTCAATTTAAAACTTTCATACCCATCCACAATTAATTGGTAATGTTACATTAGGAAAAGCATAATATTGAACTCAAATCTTATGGAATTCAATTGATTTCTCTACTTTTGTGAATTATTCTATAAATAAATGAATTCTATTTTCATTCATACAAAACAAAACTGAAAAATTATGTTGCAAGCACAAAGTAAATCTTAAATGTACCTGCAAACCAAATCAATCCTTTTATAACCAAAATAATTAGAATTTCTCCTTGATCTCAGAGCAACTTCTTAATATTCATAATTGTAAAAGAATCTTTAGATAATATAAGCTATTCTTGCAAATGTTTTTCTTTGACTGTATCATTCTCTCCCACTCAGTGAAAACAATATTTAATATAAACCATGCTTCCAAATGTTCTTTGACTGTATCATTCCCCTCACCCATGAAAATGCAACCTCATGTTTCGAAGTGTTGAAGCAATGGAAAGCTTGTTAGAAGCACTTTTTATAACTTGATTTATTCCTTTAGACCCAACATGATAGGTGCAAAGAAGTAGGACCAAAATTAGATTCTTTTTGAGAAAATTGACAACTTGAAAGGCAGGGAAGGATTCATTAAGTCCAAATTCTTTTCAAAACCTTTTAGTTTTGATTTCATATATCTTTGTTTCTTGAAATTCTTTAGGTGCTACTCGATGAAATTCTTTAGGTGCTACTCGATTATTCTAGTCCTTTTTTTGATTTTCCTTGATTACCACATTATTTTTCTAATCTTCTTCTTGATCTTCCTTGTTGAAAACTTTTGTTACTAAACCTTTCTATATGTTTCCAGCTGTTACTAAAAGGTTGTCTTTAGGTCTCTAGTGATTCTTCAAAGTTGCAACTTGTTTTCAAAGTCTTGAATGGTCCTGCTCTTTCCAAATCTTCAATATAGCTTATCTTAAATCTCAAAAGAATCTAACAAGTGTATTGTCTTTTTTGAGGTACTGTGCTAGTGAAAATTATTATAATGTAGAACAAATATTGGTAACAAGAATATGGGGGAATGGAGAATCAAGGATGGGAGAAGAACATAAGCTATTAGCTTTTCCAAAGCAATAATCTCAATTCATCATAATCTATCCCTAATACATGACGGCATGTATATGGATTCTAAAACTCTAATAAAACTTAGTGAAAGATATCAAAACTTAAAACAAAATGGGAAATTAATTATGCATGTCTGTTATTGACAGCCAAGTCAGTCTGCGTAATGTATGGTAATTATGTAATATTCTTGGACCCAGTTGTTGAGATTTCCATATTTTCCCATAGAATATAATTATGTGTGTTTGTTGACACATGGACAACTATGTCAGTCTACATAATATATGATCAGCATCTTCGTGTTCTTTGTATGATGTAATGTGTGAGAGAGATCTATACCCTTTTTTTCTGCCATCAGAACAATGATTAGTGTTGTATAAAGTGTGCCTAGGTGCTAGGTTGCAGGCCACTGCATTGTCTAGACTAGCCATTAGGCGGTGGAGGTGTTTGGCTCTGCCTAGATGCTAGGCAGTGGACCTGGATGTCTAGTTCTGCCTAAACACGTAGCACAGTGCTAAGGCTGCCTAATCCGCTTTTTCCTTTTTATTTTTATTTTTTTTTTCAATTTTCTGGCTTTTTTTTTTGAAAAAAAAAGAAAAATTCCTAGGTCGTCGTAGGCACTAAGTGGTGGGCTAACGCCTCACCACTGTCTAGCGCTTTCTTTTATCCATTTTGTTTCATCCTTCAGGTTTAACAATGAATACAGCATAGAAATATTAAATTTTGCTGTCATAGTGAGAAATAAGAAAAACCAAAGCACCCAGAATTGGAAAATAGAAAAATAGAATCAGAGAGAAGAATAGGAAGATGGGTATTGAAGGTCAAAAAAATAGGAAGATGGGTACTTGTCTTTTAAAAATGGGAGACACCTTGCTTGTAGCTTTGTAAAGGAAAATTATTGAGGATCAGTTCTGTATCACTGTTGTTTTTGGTTTTGATTATTCAAAATTTTGTAATTAGTAACTAATGCCATATTTAGGAGACTTGTATATAGTGTTAGTTACTAATTTAAAAGAGATTAAAACTAAAAACCATAAGCATCAAGGATACTTAATGAAGCTTAAATCAACGCTCATTTCCATACTCTTTAGATCTTTATTTTTTATATTTTCCATCTAAGACGCATGTGTACATGGAATTTTTGTGCTCAGCTATATTCTTTGATGTTGATTTCGATTTCTAAGTTCTGCCATATAAAGATAATTAGTCATTTTTTTTTGACACATTGACAGCCATGTAAGTTTGCGCCATATGACTATTATCTGCATGTTCGTTGTACAATGTAATGTTTGAGAAACAACAGTACTGCTTTCTCTTTTTTTTTTTTTTTGGCCTTAAAAACAACTATAGAGAAGAGGATATTGTTTGAAGTCCTCTGAAGTGTCCAAATCTATGGATGTGTTTGCTTTTGTTCAGGTATTATGAAATCCTTTTTCTCCCTTCAATTTTTGTTCAGGGGTCATAGGTGTTATGCAAACAAATTTTCTTTTAATATAATTATTACAATCTTCTGATAGTCATTTTTATTTCTGTATTAATCAGGTTTTTTTTTTTTTTTTTTGGTTCATCTATGCTGTATAAAATTTTCTTTCAAGCAAGGTTTAATTTGTGTTTTTGGCTCAATTATTCTTTTTCATTTTTTCAATTTTCAAATACTAAAGATTTCCTTTTTTGGTTCTCTACAGTGAGTTTCAACTCATTCATGAGTTATGCCTATATGTACTATCAGCGTCGCAAAGACCTGAACTCATAAGAGCGACACTCTCCACGTTGCATGCTTTTCTTTCTTGGATCCCCCTTGGCTATATTTTTGAGTCTCCATTGGTATTGTCTCTCTTATGCAGTAATTCTTGACCTTCATCAATGATTAACATTTAATAGTTAAATTACACCTGAATGTTTTTAAGTATTTCTTTTTATTTTTTTCACATCTTTATGTCCAATAGTTGGAAACGCTTCTCAAATTTTTTCCCACACCTTCATATCGAAATCTTACCCTCCAATGTTTGACTGAGGTACTTTAATTTTATACATTTTTTTACTAATTATCCTTGCTTTTAAGACCTTGGAAATTACTTGTTTCATATCTTTAAATTTACAGGTTGCAGCCTTAAATTTTGGGGACTACTACGATGTTCAATATGTTAAGATGTATTCTATATTTATGGTCCAGTTGCAGGTATCCTTGTCTGTTTCTAGCTATATTTCTTTTCCTTAATTTTCGTTTTTCTTTTCCTGGCTGACTTCTGTGTACTCTCTTTGTATATTTTTAGCCTATTCTTCCACCCACTACAAACATCCCTGAAGCTTATGGTCATGGAAGCAGCGAGGAACAGGTTCTTTTTCCTATTACAATTTTCCAGCCCTTCATAAAAGTCAATATACTCTTTTTTTTTACGAGAATGGCAAATTTCATTTTGTTTGTCTGAAATTTCCTAAATCTTGGTGTTATAATTATCACCTGGCATACTCAGTTGTTTACAAAATTGCACCTCACTAATCACCTAAACAACACATAAAGAAAATGGTTAACTCTAGGGCGTATTACCATAAAAGCCGAACTTTCTTGTTAAGATTCTACTGGACAAAACCACATTGTGCCAAGTCGCATTATCTTTCTCTCTCCTAATTTTTTCACAGCTGCAAGATATTGAAAACTTTCATGATCTAGTAAGACCCCAAATTGTCTGATCATGGCCTCTGTTGAAATGTGGATCTGTTGACTTGAGTAAGTGTAGCTAACTTTGTAAATTTTCTTTAAAAGCTCACTCTAGTAGCCATGTTTGCTTCCATCCTCCATTGAGCTACAACCGAATTGTGCCCCATCTATTATAGCTTCTGCTCTCAAACAGTGTTGTCAAGAGCGTCCGCTCTGCCCGCTTAGGTGGTGAAGCGGAGCGGTCTGCTCCTCTGGCGCTTCAGTAATTACTGAAGCGCCAAACTTCAGTGAAGCGGGAGTGAAGCGCCTGCTTCACTGCTTAAGCGCTGAAGTGCGAAGCGGTCAAAGCGCTGGTTTTTCTTTTTTTTTTTGTTCAATTTGACAAAATAATCCAACTTAACCTTTAATTTTAAGGGTAAAGTGGTACTTTAACATTTTTTTCCCTCAATAAAACCCTAAAAAACCTAAAATTGGATCTGAATCATGATTTTGTCACCCGACACTGCTGCTTCTTCTTCTTCTTCCTTCAAGATCAGGCATGCTGTCTTCAGGATCAAGCCTGTGACAAGAAAGATCCGCATTTGCTGTCTTCAGGCTTTCTTCAAGTTTTATTCTCTCATTCCTTCCAAGTTCCAACGTTCTTCCTTTTTTCTTCCTTTTTTCTTCCTTTTTTCTTCCTTTTTTGCTCTGTTTTTTCCCCTGCTTCTGCACTTGCTGTGTTTCCCTTTGCAAATGGAAACAACTTTATCTAAGTCCAGTAATAAGAAAGATCCTGCTTGGAAATATAATTCTTTGAAGGATCCAAGTTAACCCAATTATGTTACCTGCAATTTTTGTAATAAACAACTACTGGGGGAATCAATCGAGCAAAGCAACATCAGATGGGGTGTTTGGGTAATGCTACATCTTGTCCAAGAGTCCCACAAGAGGTTAGGGAAGAGCTGTGGAATTATTACAACGAGAAGAAGTCTCAAAAATCCACTGGCTCCTCAGGTTCTTTTCAGACATTCAATTATTTAGAAGATTGTGAAATTGGTGATGATGATTTGGATGAGGTTGAGTTGGTTGAGTTTGATGTAAGTGGAAAATGGTTGTTAACTGCAAAATCAGGGGCTGAAATGTAAGGTAGGGGGAAGAAAGCCAAAGGCCCGATGGATTGTATTTGATGAAACCAGAAACTATAGTTCAAAGAAGAAAAGAAAGCAAAATGAGGCAAACAAGTATAAAGGATAGTGATCCAGAAGCAAGAGCTAGGAGAGTCCAGTATATAGCAAGATTTTTTTATCAAGCTGGGATCCCATTTAATGCAGTACATCTAGATAGCTTCAAGTATATGGTGGAAGCTATTGGGCGGTATGGTTCGAATTTAAAGCCTCCTAGTTATCATGAGTTGCGGGTTCCATTGCTGAAAAAGGAATTGTAGCTTACAAATGATATGTTAGAGGATCACAAGAAGAAATGGGCAAACTATGGTTGCTCAATTATGTCTGATGCTTGGACAAATAGAAGATGGACAAATAGAAGACAGAAGTACGGTTGCTCAATGCAGTTGATGAGGATGACGTAGATGTAGATGATTTATCTTAGATTTTAGAATGATATTATACTGTTTCTGACTTTCTGCACTGTTTTAATTTCTTGACTGTTATGCATACACGTACTGCTAATTTTTTGTTCTAGTAATTGATGTTATGAACTTCAAAATCTGTTTTATTAATATATCATGTTTTGACTACATTTTGAAAAGGTTTAGGCTATTACATAATCATCTTTTTGTATTGTCCGCTTCACTTTGGTGAAGCTTTCCGCTTGAGCCTTTTGAAGGGCTGGCGCTTTAAGGCACTTTAACGCTTTTGACAACACTGCTCTCAAAATATCACCACCTCCCCTGACATTACCAATTTTCATACAAAAGTGAAGTCTGACCCAAACATTTACAACAATATGATCATTTACTGCACTTTGGACAAGCCATATCTTCTCTCCTTTCAATAGCTGGTCCTTTACTATGGACTAGATGTAAGAGTTGGAGTACCCCTTGTACTCTATATTAATAAATCTCCTTTGTTTGATCCAAAAAAAAAAAAAAAAAAAAAAAAAAAAAAGAGAAAAAGCTGGTCCTTTGCATGGCTCACATGTAAATCATTGGAGTTGCTACAAATCTTCCATATATATCTACCATGAGGCAGCCTTATTACTGCTATCAATTTGTTTCACTCCTAATCCACCTTATTTCCTTGGTGCACATACTTGTTCCCATGCAATAAGAGCCATAGGGTTGCCATCAACATTTCTAACCCACAAAATCATTCTTTGTAGGTTATTCTCCTCCTTAAGCACTGCATTAGCTGAGGAAAATGGATTCAGTACATTTGAAAATGGAAGATAACATAATTGATTAACCATGGCTTCTCAGTAAATGAACTTAGGAACTTGGTAGTACAGGAGCTATTTTCTTCCTCACTGCTGAATTGTTAATTCTGTAGAAATCTAAGGCACTTGCAAGTCCTAGAGGGAGCATACCTTTATGGATGCCCTCCAACAAAGATTGTTTCAGTTCCCAAAAAGGTCACTAAAAAATATACAACTCTTCCCCAAATTGGCATTCAAGCCTGAGACAATAGAAAACTCATCAAAATATTTCTTCATTAACAAGGGAGAATGCTCATCCCCTCTAGACAGCAGCATAAGATCATCAGCAAAGTGATGGTGGGTGAGCTTAAGCCTGATGGTGGGTGAGCTTAAGCCTTTTACGCTTATCATGATATTGAAATTGCTACTCATAACCTGGAATGATACTCCATAACTAACAAAAGAAAGTAAGGGGACATGGGACCCCCCTGCCTCATACCCCTCTAGCATTAATGCTAATAGAAATCTTTGTAGTAGTTAAGGCAAGCATAGATCAAGTTCACCCACCGGGACATCCTTAAGAAATTTCCAATGCACAGTTTGCAGGTCAAACTTGGACAAGCATCTCGCTAGACTATCATCTCTATGATAGTTTTGGACCTAGTCTTGACATATTTACGTTATAGATCTATTCTTCAAAAAACCTCCCTTGTTAAAACTAATAACAACATCAAAAACCTTTTGCAATCTGTTAGCATTGGATGTAATTTTGGATCTAATCTTGTAGGTTACATTGCAGCATGCAATACGTCTATACTTGCCAAGGGAGTTAGGACAATTTACTATTAAGACTAGGTAGATTAAGGTGGCATTTATTCCCCAAGGATGCTGCCAGATGTAAAGAAGTCCTTATTCAAAACCATTAGATTAACTTATACCTATAAATTTTTGACTGGCATAATTGCTGCTGTTGCTCAACAGATAACAGCTTACATCTCTGATTCACAGAGAAATCAATACTTGACAAGAATCCTTTAGCTTTTTGAAATAAACCATGGTTGTAGGCCAAAAAGGCGGATGCAATAGAAGTGATTCTACTATTGGTTTGTCTAGTCTTAATTTTAGCATGGATGTAGGTTTGAGTTAGTATCCATCTCACGCAACCACTCTATTTTAGCCTTTTTGTTGAAGCAAGGCAATTTTAACTGTCACTATGTTCCAAAACCTTTGTGGAGCCCTTTCTTGTCATAAAGTAACAACTGATTTGTTGCCTCACTTGATTCACCCTTTCAGATATCCTTCAATAAGAAGATTTGTAAGGATTTTAGCTTAAGTTTCACCTTTTTTAAGATTTTAGAAAAAGCAATACCTTGGGGGAATCTTTGACATTCCATGCATTTAAAGCCCCTGAAAGTAGCTGCTTGAGTTTTGGCTATTCGCAATTGTAATTAATTGAGAAGAGTGATCTGAAGAATGAAAATGAACTTCAGCTGCATCATATTTCTCCAACCAAGCACCCTTATTCATGACTATCTAGTTTACAGTAGAGCCTAGTGTCCTCATGCCATTGTGTATATTCCATGCATCTTATAGACTTAGGGTCCCTAGTAGGAAAAGCAACAGCCAAGAACTCAGAGTTATCTCCACCAGTTGCTATCTGTCAATTGTAGCAGCCTCCTCACATTTAGTTCTCTGGGGCAACCTTAGAGCAATTAGCCTCAGTCCCAGCCACCTTGCTCACCAGTCTAACCTCAATTTTCAACCAAGGGGTGCCTCCGTTCATAGCAATCACATTAACCAAAAAACCCACTCTTGAAGATCCCTTGTAACCCAACAAGCAACTTTGTCTGCCAAACCAGCATCCTTTGCCACCACCCTTCTTGGGATGGCCTTAACCCATTTCAGTGTTTCTGGTAGGTTAAACTACCAATTTAGTCCCTCAACCTTTTAGATTTGTACCAAATTTGTCCTTAAACTTCCAAAAGTACTAGAATGTCCTTAAACTTTAATTTTGGGTACCAATTTTGTCCTTCTGTTAATGGAAGTGACATGTGGCAGGTTAATTGCCAAAAACTCACACCTTTTTTTAAAAATAATGATGTGGAAAAGACATGTACAAGGCGATGAGGTGGCATTTTTTCCCTTCCACATGACATTTTGTAATCTTACATGGATAAATAAAGGACCCACATATTTTATAAATTATATATAAATTTTTTGACAAAGGTAATTAATTCATAGAACTTGAATGCAAAAATGGAATACCAGATTCAAAAAACAAAAGCATGACACTCAGCATGAAAAGAACAACACATGCAAACTGCAGAGCATCATCATAAGGTTAAACAAATCCATAGCATAATCAACAAACAATGGAGACACAGTATTGTCATCTAAGCTTAAACGTCACAATCATGCTTTGAAACTTAAAATCCTGAATCTTGAACATGAAATTAAACAAGAAATCAATACTGAAATTGGAGAAGTTATATAAAATTGCAGTGATGCCTGAAATTGATTTCGATCGAATTTGCAATTTGAATACAGTGCAAATACTCAATACAGGAACAATCTCCAAAAAACAAGTGAACTACAGAAAAGGGGATGGGAGGAGTATTGGGGAGTCTTGAGATCTGGAGAGGGGGAAAGAGGGAAATCAAAAAGCTTCTCTTGTATTACTTTAAAATTTCATGTCCACTCATTTTACTTAAATTTAACTTAAAATAAAAATAGGTATGTGGCAAAAATGCCCTTGTCTTCAACCTCCATTCTTTCTCCACACTTCTCTATTCCAGATTCTATTAGACTTTCCAACACACATCTGTCCCACAAACAATCATCATCACCAAATACCAAATAAACTCATCATTTTCTCCATTAAGCTCTGTAAAATCAGAACAAAAAAGTCAACAAATTAAAAAAATAAAATAAAATAAAAAACAAAAGAAATCTTGGGTCACCAAAAGAAATGTGGGTGCCTAGGTCTTTAAATGCATTGATTTGGTCCCTAAGTCAATCGTAGACCAAACAGTTAAGAAAACTTTATGGTGATTATTCACCAAGTTGGAAAGTAGTGAACCCAGATCTGGCCTCGCACTAACATTTGAACTTGATCAATGATTCCCATGTGCAGTAGCTGCTCAAAATATCTACATTCCTACAATGACAACATTAAAAATGTATTTTTTTTACATGTCATTATTTTTTAAAAAAAGAGATTTGTTTTGGTAAATTAACATGCCAACTGTCACTTCCGTTAACGGAAGTGCGAAATTCATACTGAAAATTAAAGTTCCAGGATATATTTGGTACAAATTTAAAAGTTGAGGGACTGTATTAGTATTTTAACCTTTTGGGTAAATTGCAATGATGACACGTTTTAGCTGAACAACACAGCCTGAGCATTTTTATGCAACAAAGGGTTCAATTCCTTTCACCTATTTAGTTATTTTAGGACATTGCTGATATACTCCATTTTCTTACCTCTTTTTTTTTTTTTTTTTTTTTTTGTTAACTATGCAGGCATTTATTCAGAATTTGGCACTGTTCTTCACTTCATTCTACAAGGCAAGTTTCCCCTTACAGCATTAATTATAAAATTTGCCTTAAAGATTGTTTTCATAGTGGAATTTTTAGTCTCAATCTGTATTGTCTAGGTTTACATGTTTGATATTGATATATGTTTCTTTTTCTCTGATTTTTTGGCGGTCTAAGTCCAAACTAATGATCTCTTACAGTTGACATGTGATATATTAGGTTATTATTCTAGCCCCTACTGTTTGCTTTTTCTGGTGGTAAAGAAAAAATCTATATCGTGTTTAGGAAATCTAATGCTATATTGTGCTGATGGTTATTGGGCAGGCAGATTTCCTCTGATCTTTAGAATCTTAGATGACTGGATTATATTGTTGGTCAATTTAGTTTTGTTTGCAAATTTGGTGTCTCTGTTTTGGTTGGATTTTAGCAATTATTTTACTAAATTCTTTTCTTTTTAATGCAGTTCCATATTCGGGTATTGGAAACCTTACAGGAGAATATATCTGCACTGTTGATGGGTCTTGAATATCTCATTAACATATCATACGTAGATGACACAGAAGTGTTTAAGGTATTTTGGCTTTATAGTCCTTTTTTATTTTTTTAATAATGATTGTGTCTGCTTATTCTTTCTTTTCTTTCCTTTTTTTTTTTTTCTTTCTCTCTGGGGAAGTGGTTAGATTGATAGATTGCTGGTCCTCTGATTGAGTAGGTTTGCTTGGACTATTGGAATTCCTTGGTATTGGAGCTCTTTGATGCGCATCATAATATTGATAATCCTGCAGTAACAGCAAGCTTAATGGGGCTGCAGGTATTATGGAAATTTATTAGTAGATGGGTTTTAGCTCATATTTTCTTAACTAGCTGTTCCATGTGTGGATGAACTCTTTTCTGGTGGCAACTAGGTAAACTTTTGTTTATACTTTGGAATTAAATGGAACAAGAACTACAGTATAGTTCTCCTGAAATGTGGCTGTATTTTACAACAGTGTTAAAAAATTTAAATTGACAAACATCTCACTTCAATACTATGTTCTTATGTATATATATATATATATATATATTTTTTTTTTTCCCTGAGTTACTGCATTAATAGTTACAATCTTTTAATTTACTTGATATGAAAGAGTTAGTTGTCTCACCTTTTGTGTATGAATTGAAACAGCCAATGCCCATGCTTCCTGTCATGGTTGATGGTCTTGGTACCCAGCTTATGCAGCGACGCCAGCTTTATGCTGGTACAATGTCAAAATTGAGAATGCTTATGATTTGTCGAATGGCTAAGCCTGAAGAGGTTCTGATAGTTGAAGATGAAAATGGGAATATTGTTCGTGAAACTATGAAGGACAATGATGTCCTTGTTCAGTACAAGGTGACTTCCATATGAGATGTGATCTATTCCATATAGTACCTGAAATATGTTTGCAGATGACTAATTTTTTTGAAACCTAGTTGTAAGTTGCAACTCACCAGCGCTTGATCTTTTGCGTCGAGGAGAAGTCTTATCTTGATAATGGTTTTCTGTATATAATAAGGTGCTAAGATCCTTTTGTTTAAGGAAGGCTATGTAAAGTTCATTTAGCAAAAATATAGAGAAATCTTGCATCAGCTAATCACTAAGGTGTTTTGTTTTTTTAGATAACTTGATTTCAAAGCTAAATGTGTTGAATGTTTTGATCATTATGTTACATTGATCAATGTAAATTTAAAAATTTTTTGTGTGACTATTCTCTCAAAATAACTGTTTTTTCCTGGTTCATTGTTGCAGATAATGCGGGAGACACTGATTTACCTAGCACACCTTGATCATGAGGATACTGAAAAGCAGGTTCTAGTTCTGAAAAACCCTTTTCAGTTTCCATAAATCAATAAGATTGATGTCTAGTAGTGTGTCTTGTTTCTGCCATGCTGATAGTTGATGGATGTATTCTCATATTGAGATATTCTTATTACTGGGAAAGAAAATGTTATGCATCTCTAATGCATTAAATTTTCCTTCTTTCTCTAATTCCACTACAAGCTGGTGAGTAATTAGTCTTTTCTGGATTCTTCTGTGTCATTCCTCAAATTCTAATAAAAGAATGTTCACAACCTCTATTTACAAGAAAAATGAATGACATGTTCTTAATAACTAGAAACTGACCTGAAAGGAGGATCTAGGGTGAGTAATTTGTCAATATTGATTTCCATGGATGGTCATTCTTTTTTAGTTCAAATGACAACTTCTTGATGTTTTTCTTTTTCATTCTGTGTCACTCAGATGCTGAAGAAGTTAAGTAAACAACTGAGTGGTGAGGATTGGACATGGAACAATCTGAACACATTATGTTGGGCAATTGGGTCCATCTCTGGTTCGATGATGGAAGAACAGGTAACTTTTTCCTTCCTATTGGCATGTGATGTAGAACATGACGCAAAGGGGAGAGTATAGATTCAGAGGCAAGGATGTGAAGTAAACTGCAGAATTAGGGATTTTTGGAAGATAATTCTTATTAATCAACTTTGAATAACCCTAATACAAAACCTAAGCTTATATAGAAAAGCTAAAGTCCTAATTAGACTCTTATAAGAAATTTTTATTTAAAAGATATTAGATGTCTAATTCTATATAACAAAAGTTTTGTGCAGTCCGGACTGTACAATGGTTTTGGACTGCAAAACAGGGAACTCATACTATAAACTACTAAAAAATCCATTAAAAAAAAACTACTAGATAAAAGTTATAAATTAAAATTAATTACAATATACTCATAATTATAATGTAATCCTAATATATAAATTATTTTCTTCATTATCTGCATCAGTTGGTGCATAATTGACTGGGACTATGGATTCCTTAGGAAGCAGAATGGAAAAAGAGATTTCCATATTCATTACTACAAGCTGGCTATGACATCTAACAGTCTGTAAATGTGCTCTCATTGTTCAATTTTTCTTAGTTAACTAATTAGAAAGTACTGTTGCAAAAGTCGGGAATTGGGATTAGTCAGTCAACTAACCATGCTGGGAGAGGGTTGGATTCGGTGGCAGTGCAGCAAAGGCAAAATATTTTTTCTCAAATCCACCAAGAAATCGAGGTCCAGTCTGAGAAATGACATTGGAATGTTCCTCAGACGTCTCCAGCAAACATTCTTCCGGAATTTCAGCTGTAACTACAGTCGGATGCTTCTCATGTGCCATCAGAAAGTCTGACCCACTTCACTACCGTCCATTAGAGAAGTCAATGAATAGTTGCACACAGTTTTGGTTATCTTGTATATATATAATATATTTAAATTATTAATAAAAAAGACATTTAAAAACCATGATTAGTGGTCAGTGGGGCCCACTTATTTGCTCCAAAAAATTTGACAAAAGAGAATTCTTTTTGGTTCCCAACAACGAAAGGTTTGACTTCCCAACGTTTTGATATTTTTAAAAAAAATTTTCAATCTTATCTGAATTTTTTTTACATTTTATTATTATTATATTTTGAAAATGCCCAATCGCATCTAGGAGGTGGGTGATGATGGCCTGGCCTTCTCCGTTATTGTCAGAAATTAGAAACAAAAATTGTAAGAGCATGCATGTTTGTGTTACCATTACTCCAGTAAGAAAGCTTTACTAAAAGCTCATGCTACATTTTTCTAGTTGGTAATTATCATTTAAATCTCAGACCAAGTACTACAGGATAGGCTGATTATTCTTTCCCTTGTCTTTATGCTTTCCATTTAGATGGTTCTTTTCCCTGGTCGGTAAAAAAGATGTTTCAACGTATCGTGATGTGTTACAGACTTGTTTGCTTATTATGATATTATGTAATGATGTCTGTTTCTTGGCAGGAAAACAGGTTTCTGGTGATGGTCATTCGTGATTTACTGAATCTATGTGAGATTACTAAAGGAAAAGATAACAAAGCTGTTATTGCAAGTAACATTATGTAAGAGTTAATGATTTAGAAGTATTTTTGAATATCTAGCTTGAGTGCCTTATATGCCCTACAGATACTATTAGAGCATTGCTGCAATCTGTTTTCATCAATGTACTGTGTTTTCTTTCTATTATGGATAATCTGGCAATTTTGGATGCTTGTTGCATGGTGTTCAGTTTTGATGCTCATCTGTGTACTTTGTTAAGAATCTTTAGTCTTAATAACATCATTTTAATTGTTGATTTTGTTGGTAGGTATGTCGTTGGACAATATCCAAGATTCCTCAGAGCACATTGGAAGTTTCTGAAAACTGTTGTCAATAAGCTGTTTGAGTTCATGCATGAAACCCATCCTGGAGTTCAGGTAAGATAATTAAAAAGGGAATTTGTTTCTTTTTTTTTTTTCCCTTTTTTGCAAATCAGTTTAAATTGTTCAATCTTGTGTTTTTCTTCCTAAATTGCAGACGAGTTATTTTTATGGGAAACGGTAGTTGTTCCAGAAAACTTGTATTCTTAATACACTTCTTCCCAGACTTGTATAACTATAGATTTTAATATACATTGCTTTTTTTTCTTTATGTGAGTGTCTGGCATTTGTCTTTGTTTTTTGTTTTATATATAACAGAACACACTTGTACATGCATCACAATTACATTATGAAGCATATCTTGATTCTTTGAAAGTTTTTAAGCCCTTATAGATATGGAGAAAACATTAGGCTTACGATTTATTATGCCAGTCTTTTTTCTGACTGTTGAATGATAGTTCATACAGCAGTGTCTATTTTAATTCCTTGTCTCTTGCTTATCAGGATATGGCCTGTGACACTTTCTTGAAAATTGTTCAGAAATGCAAGCGAAAGTTTGTTATTGTACAGGTATCATTTGCCTTAAGATCTTTCATCTTTATGATTAGAATATTTCAGCCTGAATCTGGATTTGACATTGAAGCCTTCTCATATTGGTCTATGGATTGTCTTGTGATTAGGTTGGCGAAAGTGAACCATTTGTTTCTGAACTTCTATCAGGTCTTGCGACAACTGTTGCTGATCTTGAGCCTCACCAGATTCATATGTTTTATGAAGCTGTATGATTCTATCTGTGTGTACTAAAATTCTGTAGAAATTTCTGATATAATATCAAATGCTTCTATGCTTTCTTTCAGGTTGGTCATATGATTCATGCAGAATCTGATCCCCAGAAGAGAGATGAATACTTGCAGAGATTGATGGAACTTCCTAATCAGGTACAGATAGGAAATATTGAGCCTTTTATATTTCTTGACATTTGTGTGAAGGTGATACAAGTGATCCTTGCCTAATGATATTGGTTTTTGTGTAGAAATGGGTTGAGATCATTGGACAGGCACGTCAGAGTGTTGACTTTCTTAAAGACCAGGAGGTGATTAGAACTGTGCTAAATATACTACAGGTAAAGGGTTTACACTCATAGAGGATTTTGTTTGTGGTTATAAATATTTTTAATAGGTATAAATTTCCATATTGCAGTAAATTTTTGATATTTAGTTTTCTACTGAGATAAACTATCTGTTCTGTTTCATAGTTTATTGTATTTAATTTAATAAGTATTACTCAATTCTGTTAAGGAGTCTCAGCCAAAAAAAAAAAACCTCTGTTAAAAAATAGGGAATTCAAATTGTTTACCTTTTTGGAATTTCTGTGCATTTGAAGAAATGGGTTTTCAGTTTTCTGAATGGTCCTTAATACTTTTTTTTTTTCATTTTTGTTTCCATCAGTGACTTGTTTGGTGACAAATCCAAATTTCTGTCAATTTTCTACACATCTTTGCTCTAGTTTGTTATAATTCTTAAAATTAGTCAGTTCCATGTCTCAGAAGGTTATTTTCCTTGTCCTTTTCCCAAAATTTTGTTAGTTACTCCTCCTAGTTTGGTAATGCTAAATTAAAAGCATGTGGTGGGATTTTTGTTTAGTTGATTAATTGCTTTATGCCTTGGAATTCAATGCCTATGGATCCAGTGAGATTTCCTTGATTGACCATTTGCAGACAAATACCAGTGTGGCTAGTTCCCTTGGGACATACTTTTTATCCCAAATTTCTTTGATCTTTCTGGATATGCTTAATGTATACAGGTAAACTTTTTCTCCTTTTATATATATATATATATATATATATAATTTTGTGTACAAAAGTGAAGGTGGCACAGTTGAAACTGTAAACTCTGGTCTTTAGTATGGGTAATTTATGGCGCTTCAATATTTTAACAGAATGTACAGTGAGCTTATATCAAGTAGCATTGCTGAAGGTGGACCCTATGCATCAAAAACATCATATGTGAAACTTTTGCGGTAAAATTGATGTATTCATATATTTTTCTTTTGTTGTTCAACCTCAGTTTCTTGTATGTTCTAATGCATTCTGTTGAAGCAGATCTGTTAAGAGGGAGACACTTAAGCTCATTGAGACATTTTTGGACAAGGCAGAAGATCAACCACAAATTGGAAAGCAATTTGTGCCCCCAATGATGGATCCAGTTCTAGGTGATTATGCAAGAAATTTGCCTGATGCCAGAGAATCTGAAGTTCTGTCGCTTTTTGCTACAATAATAAACAAGTATGGTATCTGTTGCTTACAAACTTTTCTTTAATTAGTGGAGGATACTATTTTCCACTGTCAGGCAACAATAAATGTCTAGTGTATTATCAACAATCATCTCTGCATCCCCTTTTTAATACTCTTGCCAGTTGTAATCTCCCCCTCTAAAGACTGAAGTGATTAAAGTAAAAAGAAAAGGAAAGGAAGTAAATAGGGGTTTTTCTACATTGTAGGACTAAAATATTTGTTTGCTCCTATAATTCATGTACATTTTAAATGAAGTTTTAATGCCAATCAATGCTTGATGTTTGGAATGTTTTATCTGCACTCAGTACTTCTGGATGTGTCTTGAGGCCCTGCCAAAAGGGATAATTCAAAGCCTTTAGTGTTTGTACACTCACGTAGGTGCTGATGCTACTTCAAGATCCCTTTTACATACTATATATAATATTAAATTTTATGCTTATATTCAAGCTAGTTTGCTCCTCTACTATGTCATAGTTCCTGCAACTTTGCTAAGTTTGCAATAAAGCAAGCTACTGTTCCATTTATAAATCATGAATGCATGAATTGAATGGATACAATATCTCTGTAATATATCTTGATAATAGTCTTTGAAATATCATCTCGCTTCCAATTTTGATTTAATTTTTATATGGGTTTTATATCTTATATATTCTTTACATTTCTTATTTGGCTTTTGCTTGTTTTATGCATCAAGGTATAAAGCTGCAATGATTGATGATGTCCCTCGCATATTTGAAGCTGTTTTCCAATGCACACTGGAGGTTAGGATATTTGATTAATTCTTTGGCTCTGATATGCATTCTGTCCTCTATTTTTTTTGACAGGAAAAAATTTGAAGGAATGAGTTGAAATGTTATACGATTAATAAGCTGTGGTTTGTGAATGGCATTGAACTTTTCTGAAGCTTCTAATTCACAAGTAATTGAGTGTATTGGAATAATGAATTCTAGAATAGTGTAGCTTACTGGCATGTAAAAAAATCTGTAGATTCTTTATGTTTTTGGATTAGATTTCTTTTTTAAAGAAATTATGTGCTTAAATTCTATTATGCATTTTTCATCCCTGAGAGATCATAGGTAGGATTTATTCTAGATAATTTACTAGATTCTGTCATACTTGGTAGTTATACTTACATTATTTAGACAAGGTCTGAATATTTCATTCTTGAGCTGTTTTGCCAACAATATCATCGTGTCCATCCCTTGCAGATGATAACCAAAAATTTTGAAGACTACCCAGAACATCGCCTCAAATTCTTTTCATTACTCCGTGCAATTGCTACTCATTGTTTTCCTGCACTTATTCGGCTGTCAAGTCAGGTTAGTGTTTAAAGTTTCTTGTCAGTCATTAATCGTCAAATCCTTTTCATTACCACATGCAAATTCTACTCATTAACATTGCACAATGGCAGATAGATTTTATTTTATTTTTCCTGTATTTGTTCTTTTTCTTAGGTTAAATGCTAAATTTAGTCCCTCAACTTTACGAAATGAACATTTTTGATCCCTCAACAATTTTTTGCACTTTTTTGATCCCTGACTTTAAAAATTGCACAGTTTTGGTCCTTCCGTCAGTTATGTGTGATGTGGCAGTTAAATAATTTCATGTGGCATTATCTTTTAATTTTTTTGATGATGTGGCAATAATATATATTATAATTATATTATATAAATAAATAAAAATGCCACATATATTAATATTTATATTTTAATTAAAAACAAATATAATTACCTTATTACCCTCACCCTCCCAAACCCTCTTCTTCCCCTTCTTTCTTTCTCTTTCTTTCTTTACTACCCTGGGTTGGTGCAAAGATGAACCCAGCAAACGAAACCCAGCCTTCCTCACCCTCCCAATCCCTCTTCTTCCCCTTCTTTCTTTCTCTTTCTTTCTTTCCCACCCTAGGTTGGTGGAAAGCTGGGTTCATCGGAACCTAGCAGATGAAACCCAGCTGCTGGGTTCGGTTGAAACCCAGCCTTGCTGGGTTCAGTTGAAACCCAGCCTTGCTGGGTTCAGTTGAAACCCAGCAAAAGCTGGGTTTCGGTTGATTACCTTCTTCTTCCAATTTTTCGAAAAAATCCTTTCTTCTTCCAATTTTTCGATCTTCCCATTCATTACCCGTGAGCCCTTCATCTCCTAATTCTTTCCATTCTACCCACGAAAAATCTATAATCACTTGCAAATCTAGATCGACTAATTGTTCTCGGATCGTCGATTAACAATTTGATTGCATTTTCCTTGAAATTTGATTAGAGTTTGATTGTATTTTTGTTGAAATTTGATTAGAGTTTGATTGATATTGTTTATTGAAAGGTTAATTTGATTTGATAACATCTGCTAGGTTTGAGGCTCCAATGAAACCCAGTAGCTGGGTTCAATGACAGAGAATTCCTCTGGTTCATAGACATTATTTTGTAAGCACTCACCCCACTAGCAGTAGAGGCAACCCAACTCGAGTTAGATTGATTTTGCAGAGAGAGATTGATTTTGCAGAGAGTGAAGGTGAGAGACCATTCTAGGGTTCACAGATCCTATTGGTGGTTTGCAAGCAACGTGAAAGCCATTGAAGGGTCTTTGGTGCAGGAAGAAGATGACATGTCATAAAAAAAAATTCCATATCAGCACTTTTTAAAGTTGTCCTTGCCATGTCATCAAAAAAAAATCCATATCAGCACTTTTTAAAGTTATCCTTGCCATGTCATAAAAAAAAAAATAAAAAATGCCACGTGGCCGAGTTAACGGCTCAAATTGACAGAAGGACAAACGTTGTGCATTTCTTAAAGTTGAGGGATCAAAAAAGTGCAAAAAATTGTTGAGGGACCAAATTTAGCATATAACCTTTTTCTTATGAGTTTTAATTTGTATGTCAGTAGATCTTTTTTTTTTTTTTTTTTTTCAATTTCATCTATTATTATGTTTTTATCCCTTCTTACTGCTACTGTTTCTTTGATGTTTACCTGCAGCAATTAAAGCTTGTTATGGATTCAATCATTTGGGCTTTTCGGCACACAGAAAGGAATATTGCAGAAACTGGTCTAAACCTTCTATTGGAAATGCTGAAGAACTTTCAGGTACAATTTTGTCACGGTTTTGTGCATATCCTATAATTATTTTGTTGTGTGAGATGTTTAATTTCTGGGTTTTGGCATTCTTGACAGGCTTCTGAGTTTTGTAACCAATTCTATCAAACATACTATTTGACAATTGAGCAAGAAATATTCGCTGTCTTGACAGACACATTTCACAAGCCTGGCTTCAAGCTGCATGTTTTAGTTTTACAACACTTATTCTGCTTGGTAAGGTATTGTATGGGTAATCCCTTCATTTTCTTACTAGGAAGTTAGTCTTATGGAAGTGATATGTTGTTCTCAGGTTGAGAGTGGATTATTGACGGAGCCTTTGTGGGATTCTGCAACAGTTCCTTATTCTTGTCCAAATAATGGAATGTTTGTTCGGGAGTACACCATAAAACTTCTGAGTACATCATTCCCCAACATGACTGCAGTAGAGGTATAAAAATTGTTCTTATTACTGCCCTCTATTTTAGATTTGAATAGATTTTGCTAATCTCTGGGTTTTTCAGGTCACTCAATTTGTGAATGGTCTATTTGAGTCAAGAAATGATCTCTCAACATTTAAGAATCATATAAGAGATTTTCTTGTCCAATCAAAAGAATTTTCAGCTCAGGTAACTGAAATAGTCAATGAGTATTTGCTTTGATTCTTATGAGTTTGCAGATGCGTATGCTTAAACATTGGTGGATTTGTATTTAACTGTTAATTCTCATTAAATCTAGAATTTAAGAGAATATTAGAATTTGGTTTGTCCTGCAAGTGATGAGAGGTAAATTGATTTCTCAACAAATCATTTAGGTAGAACCATGATTTCTTTGTCATGTTAAGTTTGGTCAAATCTTTTTAAAATTCAAATATGAAAGTAATGTGGTTTTTAATTTGACAACTGAGTTGTTATTTTGGCTTCGCTTTCTTCAGGACAATAAAGATCTATATGCAGAGGAGGCTGCTGCTCAGAGGGAGAGAGAGCGACAGCGAATGCTTTCAATTCCGGGTCTTATTGCCCCCAATGAGATACAAGATGAGATGTTGGATTCATAGATGTGGCTACTAATGTCTTGGATACTAATTATATGAATTTTGACCTGAGTTTTTAAGGTTGCGCCTCAGAGATCCCAGTATCCATCTGAACAGATATCAGCATTTTCCTGTACTGTCTTTCTTCATCCCAAAATTTACATTTCATTGAAATGATGAATGCACTAGTCGCCCTTTGCACGAGGGTTTGGTGCTTGAGATGCTGCTTATGTGTCTATTGACAGTGTGTAGAATTGTTAGTTGTTGACATAGGAATTATCCAGTCATTCTAGGGCACTTATTGGGTGTCTTGAGGTTCCAGCTTGTTTAAATGGCATTAGAATATATTTGTTTATTCATATGTGAAGGAATGCTAACCTCGGTGGCTGTGCATAAATTCTTTTGGACCTTTATTTAGTGTATAATGTGGATGAGATTTTGTTTTCTGTGGAAAGGGCTTCTTATTGCGGCTAAACATAAATTTGTGTTCTCAACAATATTCGGGTTTCTTGGTTCTTGTGTCAAAACTTGGGAAATAGGATTGCATATTGAATATGAAATCCCAAGATTTTGCTACACTAACAGGTTAGAGTGACAGATGCGAGTAACATAAGTAGGAGGTAACAAAAATCAGAGCACTAGAATCATAGGGATAGGGTTGAAATAATAACATTTAATGTCACACATAAATAGAAATTGGGATAATTAAATCGGAAAACTTAAGTTGAGCAAGTGAGATCTAAATTGCAAGGGAGTAATGCTTTGAAAAACTGTTTGTTCAAATGGTTTTTAGTCGTGTAATTTGTGCATATAAATTTTTATATTGATATAATATATTTACTTTATTGATTCTATAAATTTTAACATTACTAAATAAATCATGTTAAAAGAAAATTTCCTTCAATCAAGTGATTAAAAATGTAGAGAGCAAGATGGAAATTATTGTGATTTAAATGAATTGTAGAAAAGACTACGTAGGTAAATACTGTGATTTAAGTGAATTGGAGAAAGATGGGGGTCGTATACTCGAATTTCTCGGTACAAAAATAGTGGATTCGATGAGTGGAAGCAGGATGGTGATTAAGATAGTGATGGCAATTTCATAATTATAATGAAACGGTGCCTCTGGGGCACTAGGTTTTTTATGATCCAAGGGTGGAGGATTTAGGCCAGGAATAATAAGTGATGATGATGTTTCGGGGGTCCTTCAAGCGATGTTCGGCTTTACCCTGATATACAGGCGGAGCTGAGAATGGACCACTGTTAAGGGATAGTTTGTGATACGGGTCAACATATTTGAACGTGGGTATACCTTCATTTTTAGCAAGGTTTGATGATTATAGCCACCACTTTGTTATAGCCCAAGGGATTCTTGGATGATGATTGGTTTCATCAAACTGTAAGTCTCTATAGGTCCTCCAAACAATATATGCTTTTTTAACCTCTAGATAATCATACAATTGATACTTATTCAGCTAGTTATAAATTTAAGGGGACAATGTTTTGTAGATCATTTTCTTAAATTTTTTTAAAAGAGATATCTAAAAACTCATCTTTTGATTTATATTTTCAAAAAAGGGTTAGTACTTATCCGCCTTACCTCCCAAAAATTAGGAGAAAAAATGACAAAAATCACCTTAATGCATGCTTTAAAAATAGGGTAGTTTAGTCTTTTTCAATAAAAAGTTATTGAAACGACGTAGTTTTAAGATGATTTTCCTCCTAATCTTTAGGAGGTAAGGCTGACAGGAACTTTTTCCTTTCAAAAATTAATTATTAGATTAAAAGGTTTATTTATATAAACCATGCATGTATTAATAGGCCTAACCACTTTGTTAAGTACAGGAAATTAACACTATTAAATATATGTTAGCAAATAAAATTATTTTGATCAAAGTGTTATAAGTGTTAAATCAATATAAAAATGATATGCATAATCTACATAAATAAAACTTTTAATGCAACAATCAAATTTTAAAAATATTAATTGAAAGGTAAATTTTTAGATAGGTTTTCTAAAAGAAATTTAAGAAAACAATATGTTTTACACTATCTTCTAAATTTAATATTCCTATGGAGTTGTGAGAATGCCTCCAAAATATCTTAGAACTAATCGTCTCATTTAGATCCAGTTTCTCTTTAGCTCTCCACCGTTCCTTTTCATAACAAAGAAACTTAGTCTTGACTACAAAGCTTGGCTAGGATGAATACTGAATTTTGTCGAGCATGTAATATTGACTTTTTCATCCCTTTTAAGCACTGTTATCAATGGTAGATAATAAAAATAGCAGAATGGGCAGAAATCAGCTATGATAGCATAGCAGATGATGATGAGAACTCTAAAGAGAACAATGAGACCCATAGTACGACAAAGGATTTCTAAACTCTAGGAAAGCCAAATCAGGTTTATAATAGGATCTTAACCCGTTGTTTATGTTGCAACAAGAACCAAACGTAAAAACCTTGACCTGTTATCTATGATACAACAAGAACCAAAGGTATAAAGTTGGTTGACGCCACATTCTCGAACAATTAAGAACAACAATAATAAGTCAGGTTAGAACGCCACAAGAATAATCTTAATAAGTTCTGTAAAGTTCTAAAATGAATTAAAGAGAAAAGTCTCTCAAAAACTCAAATTCAATAGCTCCCCCCAATCAGGGTTACAAGCCCTTCAAATAGGGAAAAGTAATTTTAATCAAAATAGGAAACTAACACCCTAAACCCTAAGCCCTAAGCCCTAAGTCTTAAGCCCTAATCCTAATAACCATGAATTGGGTGTCAAACAAATGAATGTTCAGCAGAAAATAATACAAAAAAACGTGAAAATCATTGAAAGTAACCTAAAGTAACATGAAATATTAGTTTGTTACAAATTGTAATAGAATTGCCGAATTGTGATGCAAACTGTGTAATTTAGCATAAATGACCTCAATTAAGCTTTTCTTGAACCTGAATGATGTTTACCATACCTTGATAATCATCCAAACTTTAATTTACTTGTTGCATGTTGTTATCAACCCAGATATACTCAATAAGGCCATTTAAAGCTTTTCGCATCTTCCTATCTCTAGCTCTCATGACTGGACCTCCTAGAATGTGTAATGGATCTCTTGACGTGGTACATGTGGGGTCATCTTGATTCCCATCATTCCCTCTCTCCTCAAAAGGATTTGTCCTCAAATCGTCACCTACATCAAAAGGAGAAAGATCAAAAACATTAAAAGTAGCACTAGCATTATACTTATTAGGAAGCTCCAACTTGTATGTGTTGTTGTTTATCCTTACAATCACTTGAAATGGTCCATCGCCTCTTGGTTGCAACTTAGTATGCCTTTGTGCAGGGAATCGCTCATTCCACATATGCACCCAAACCCAATCTCCAGGTTCAAACACAACTTTCTTGTGCCCTTTGTTGGCTTGATTTGCATATTGCTCAATTCGTCACTCTATGCTTTGTTGCACCTTCTCATGTAGTTGCTTAACCACTTCAGCTTTCTTTTTCCCATTCAAACTAGCTCGTTCATCAATGGGTAATGGCAATGAATCCAAAGGGGTGAGTGGATTAAAACCATACACAACTTCAAATGGTGAATAGTTAGTTGCTGAATGGATGCTCCGATTATAAGCAAATTCAACATGCGGCAAACATTCTTCCCAATTCTTTAAGTTTTTTTGAATAATGGAATGCAATAAGGTTGATAACATCCTATTAACCACTTTTGTTTGTCCATCAATTTGTGGATGACAAGTTGTCGAAAACAATAGTTTAATTCCCAACTTTCCCCACAAGGTCTTCCAAAAGTAGCTCAAGAACTTAACATCGCGATTAGAAACAATAGTCCTTGGAACACCATGTAAACGAACAACCTCCTTGAAGAATAAATCAACAATATTGGTTGCATCATCGATTTTATGACATGGAATGAAGTGTGCCGTCTTCGAGAACCTGTCAACAACAACAAAAATAGAATCACAACCTCTTTTCGACCTTGGTAAGCCCAGAACAAAATCCATAGATATATCAACCCAAGGTTCAGTAGGTATGGGTAAGGCAATATACAAACTATGTGGTAAAACTCTAGATTTTGCTTGTTTACATGTTACGCACCTTTCACACATCCTTTCAACATTGCGTTTCATATATGGCCAAAAGAAGTGATCGTTCAGAATATCTAAAGTTTTCTTAACTCCAAAATGTCCCATTAAGCCATCGACAGGTGATTCCCTTATTAACAATTCTCTTAATGAACAGTTAGGCACACATAATCGATTTTCTCTAAATAATAACCCATCATGCCTATTAAGATTATCAGAAGCCACCTTCTCACATGCATTAAACACGTTAGCAAAATCTGGATCATTAGCATATAATTCTTTAATGTGCTCAAATCCTAATAACTTTGCACTTAGAGTAGAGATAAGTGTGTACCTGCAAGATAACGTATCAACCACAATGTTTTCTTTTCCTTGCTTGTACTTGATCACATAGGGAAATGTCTCAAGGAATTCCACCCACTTAGCATGTCCTCTATTCAACTTACCTTGTCCCTGAGGTGCTTCAATGACTCATGATCAGTATGTATCACGAACTCCTTAGGACGAAGATAATGTTGCCACGTTTCTAAAGCCCTTACCAATGCGTACATCTCTGTCATATGTAGGATAATTAAGTGCTATACTAGTCAATTTTTCAGTGAAAAACGCAATAGGCCGCTGCTTTTGCATCAAAACAACGCCAATGCTAATACTTGATGCATCACATTCAATTTCAAAAGTTTTAGTAAAATCAGGTAAAGCAAGTAATGGTGTAGAAATTAAATTCTCCTTAATCAAATTGAAAGCATTCTCCTGTTCAGTTTTCCACTTAAGTCTGACACTTTTTTGCAAACAACTTTTCTTTTCTCAAAACCTCTAATACCATTTGCAGATGCTCAATATGATCAGTTAAACTCTTACCATATATTAGAATGTCATCAAAATAAACAACCACAAATTTTCCAATGAAAGCACGGAAAACATGATTCGTTAATTGCATAAATGTACTAGGTGCATTAGTTAATCCAAATGACATAACTAACCACTCATATAAACCATGTTTCGTTTTAAAGGCTGCTTTCCAGTCATCACCTTCCTTCATCCTAACCTGATGATACCCACTTTTTAAGTCAATTTTAGTGAACATGTAAGACCTGTGTAGTTCATCTAACATGTCATCAAATCTAGGAATAGGGTGACGATACTTTGTAGTGATTTTGTTGACAGCGTGACAATCAACGCATGTACGCCAAGTCCCATCCTTCTTAGGCATAAGTAGCACTGGAACTGCACATGGACTCATGCTTTCTCTCACAGGCCCCTTCTTCATGAGTTCTTCAACCTGCTTTTGAAGTTCTTTTGTCTCATTGGGGTTGCTTCAATATGCTGGTTGGTTTGGAATCATTGCACCTAGAATCTAATGCTCAATTCCTCTTATTGGTGGTAAACCATTAGGAATGTCCTTTGGAAACACGTCTTTAAAATCCTACAAAAGAGATTTAACAACACTAGGCAAAGAATCATTAAGTTCATTAGTGTTGAAATAAGCATCTTTATACAGAAGCACAAACATATGCTGCTTTGCTAAGAACGTAGCCTTGACATCACTTTTTTTTGCATAAACGCTCACTGATTTTCTCTCTTTGTTTTCAAGATTCTCAATCTTTTCTCTCTTTTTGGACTTTTTTCTGCTGTTTTCTCTTTGTTTTTCATACCCTTAAGCTCACTCTCATTTTTCAGCTCACTCTTTTTTTTTTTACTCTCAGTTGATCCTCATAAACTTGCCTTGGACTCAATGGTGCAAGAGTAATTGTTTTCCCCTCCATGACAAATGAATAGCAATTTTTGAAGCCATTATGTGTTACCCTTCTATCATATTCCCATGGTCTCCCTACAAGTAAATGTCCAGCATGCATAAGAACCACGTCACAAAGTACCTCATGCTTATATCGTCCAATAGAGAATAAAACTAGAACTTGCTTATTTACCTTGATTTCTCCACAGTTGTTTAACCATTGTAGCTTATATGGCCTTGGGTGCTTCGTCATAGGTAAATTAAGCTTTTCAACCAAAACAATGCTAGCTACACTAGTACAACTACCACCATCAATAATCACACTACATACCTTCTTTTTGACATGACACCTCGTGTGAAATATATTGTCACATTGTACTTCATCATCTTCTTTGGCTTGCACATTCAAAGCTCGCCTGGTGATGAGAAGTTCTCCATCAACGGCATATTCCACACCCATTAGCATCTTCTAATGGTGGCATAGATTCATCATTAGATTCACCCTTGGTTTCAATTTCTCCATCATCTCTCAAGATCATCATGTGCTTATTAGGACATTGCGATGCAACATGCCCCCTTCCCAAGCATCGAAAACACTTGATGTCTCGGTTTCTGCCTTGCGTATTATCTGTTTTACTTTTCTCATTGCTGCCAACTTCTTTTGACTTAGATTCTGTAGTTTTAGGCTTAAAAGCAAAATTTTCTTCCTTTTTGCACCAATTTAGTTTCCAAGAAGATGAGGAACCTGAATTTTGCTCAGTTCTGGTGGTGGCTCCTTTACGCTTGAGTTGTCGTTCTACTTTCATCGCCACATGCACCATATCTTTTAATTCCATATAATGCTGCAGCTCCACCACATTAGCTATATCACGATTTAAGCCATGCAGAAACTATGCCATAGTTGCTTCTCTGTTCTCTTCCACATTCGCTCTAACCATTGCGATTTCCATCTCTTTGAGATAATCCTCAATGCTTTTAGACCCTTGAGTAAGGCCCTGCAATCATTGATAGAGATCATGGTAGCAGTGACAAGGAACAAATTGTTTTCTCATCACAGCTTTCATCTCTTCCCAAGTGTTAATAGGATGCTCTCGATTTCTACGTCGACTAAGCACAAGCTGATCCCACCACACTACAGCGTAATCAGTAAATTCCACCACTGTTAGTTTCACCTTTTTCTCCTCAAAATAGTTATGCCAATCAAACACCAATTCCACCTTGTTTTCCCACTCCAAATACACATCTGGATCATTTTTGCCTTGAAACAAAGGAATCTTCATCTTGATGCTACCTAAGTCACGATCTTGTTGATCTCCCTGACTCATTAGATTTTGCTCTTCTCGGTTAAACCTACCTTTTTGATCCCCTATACCTCTCATAAATCTGTCCATGTTGAGATTTGAGTTTTGGGCATCATTGTTGAATGCATCTTCATAATCGTCATTGAGATCATCATTAGTGTCATTCCTACACAAATTTGGACTTCCATTCTATATTTGGTATAAATTGGCTATAGTTGCATATTGCTTCTCCTCTCCAATCTCACCAAACATGATGTCCAACCTTTGAAATTGTTGTTGCATTGCTTTGAGCATGAGAGATTCATCCACATGGTGCATTCTAATGGTTGATTTGTCATCACCGCTTGGCATGATTGAAACCTACAACGGAATGTTAGAAACAGAAGAATAAAAGGACCTCACAACACTCCCTTACGTGTTTCACTCCACTCTCTCATAGAATGGCACTCAACGCTCGTGTTTTACACACTATAGAACTTGGCTTTTCTCTCAAGTGTTGCTCACACCTCTTTGCCTTTTTCCCTCACCCAACTTTCCTCTTTCAGTTTGTTATTGAACTAAACAAGCTCAATTCAAGTTATTTTACAGCAATCTAACTCCAACAAATTTGTAACAAGAGTTAAATGAAACAAAAAGACACAAAGGAACGAATAAGAAAAACAATAAAAGAACCAAACCCAAACAAATTAAAATGAACAGATCAGTTCAAGCACTTCCTAGTAGGAATTGACTTGACTGTTCCTTAATGTAGTAGGATTTATAACTTAGGAAGCAATAAACAAAATTTGCTATCTCCTTGTTTGAATAGAACTCAAAGAGAATTTCCAACTCCTTATTATAGTAGGATTCCTTCTTCCAACTCTTTATTGGAGTATGATTCCTTCTTCTTTAAGGATTTGGCCACAGATTTCTTCTTAATATAAGGAATTCCAACCACA